TTATATATTTTATATTTAGTTTATAGTGGTATTGATGTATCACTTTTCTCACTGGATCATTCTTCACCTCCACGTTTGAGTTTCAGTTGTAGAACACTATTATTTGATGTAGTGTATCTTAGTGTCACATTGCATGGTGGTATTTATATATTGTTTTATAGGTACGTCACTTGTTATTGTGGCACTTTTTTTTTCTAGTGTTTTTATTTGGTCCAGTTTGTGTTATTTATTTCACACGGTATGTTTATTGGTATGTATTCACATAAGGGTGCATGGATTGGTAATATATAAGAGTAGCGCTACATTGATTTATTAATTTAAAACCACTGATCACAGATATATGATTTAATGTTGGCAGCTTCTCTCATCTAGACATTTTTATTAGATTAGTAGCGCAATAGTAAACACTATTTTGTTTAGACAACATGGAAGTGCAAATATTTTAGAAAATATAAAACCGCTAAATACGTTTTCTCATCAGCAGTTAGAGCAGTCATGTGACTTCTATCAGCCAAGTACTGGTTAAAGCTTGTAGGAGGAGTTTTCATTTTGCTCTAGAACAGGGGTGGCTAACCTGTGGCTCTCCAGCTGTTGTGGAACTACATTTCCCATGAGGCATTGCAAAGATGGGAAGTTACTGACTTGCAGAGGCATGATGGAACTTGTAGTCCTGCAGCAGCTGGAGAGCCGCAGGTTGGCCACCCCTGCTCTAGAAGGATGCAGAACCCATGACCTTTGTCTGGACAGTGCTGATTGGCCCTGTGCTGATCACATTCACTCTCCCAAGAAAAAAGAAAACTCTCTTGCAATACATGCCAAACTGAGCATGTGCAGAGTGACTTCACACGCTATACCTTATCAGGAGAAAAGAGGGGGGACACTGGAAGCAGGGGAGGATCAGAGTCAGGATCAAACAGCATGCTTACACAATGCGCAGGATTAACCCCTTAGTTTCCACAGTGAGTATAACAAGCGTGCTTTACTGCATATACAGACTGATTTTACTATTGTGGGTTTAGTAACACTTTAAATAATTTATGCCCCTAGAATGCCTGAAGGTGCTACTTGGATGTTGGGTCTCTGTATGTGGCCATGGTGTGTAAAAAGTCTCACACGTGGTAGTTCCATACTCAGGACAAGTAGCAAAATGTGTTTTAGGGTGTAATTGCAAGTATGCATATGCCGTGTGTGAGAAATAACTTATTAATATGTCAATTTTCTGTTTAAAAAAATTTCTTAATTTTCCCAAGAATTATAGGAAAAAATGACAACTTTAATAAACTCACCATGGATCTTGCTAAATACCTTGGACTGTCTGCTTTCCATTTGGGGGGTATTCGTACTTTCCTTGCATGTTAGAGCCTCGAGAAATGAGGTAGGCCGTCAGTACATTAGGTGTGATCAGGCGTGATCAATTTTCAATGATTTGTACCATAGCTTGTAGACTGTATAACTTTCACACAGACTAAATATTATACCTGATTCAGGTTATTTTTACCAAAGAAATGTAGCAGTATAAATGTTGGCCTACATTTATGAAGAAATATTACCTCTTTGCAACATTATTTAATAGAAACTAAAAAAAGTGTTTTTTTTTCCCAAAATGTTCGCTCTTTTTTTGCTTACATCGAAAAAAAAAAACAGTGGTGATTAAATATCACCAAAAGAAAGCTCTGTCTGTGTGAAAAAAATGATAAAGGTTTTGTTGGGGTACAGTGTAGTAGAGAGTAATTGTTGTTCAAAGTGTGAAGCACTGAAGGATGAAAAATGGTCGAGGCAGGAAGGGGGTAAAAGTTCCCTGTATTGAAGTGGTTAACCATTAGCCGCCCGGCCTATAGCCGTTTGGCAGTGGCAAAAATGCTTCACCTTTCCGGGTGCACGCCATTTGGCGTGCTCCCGCACATGCGCAGTTCGCGCGGTTGCAGAGCAGCGCGATCTGTCACCGGCCGTGTACCTCGGACACAGCCGATGACAGATCTGAGTACCGGCCCCTGTTGCCGGTACCATGTGACCTGCTGTGACCAATCACAGCAGGTCACATGACAGTTGTATACAATGGATGGCTTCATTCATGCCATCCATTGTATACTAGTGCCTAGCTGTGAATGGTCACAGCAGGTCACATGCACATGTCATGTGATTAGCTGTGGCCAAATCACAGCTAAGCACAAAAAAAAAAAAAAAAAACCTGAATGAATCGATTTCATTCTGGTAAATGCTTGCTTACAGTAAAGTAATTCTTTGTTATAAGCAAATTGTGTAAAAAAAATAAAAAATACTGATCACTTCCCCAAAGTAGTACAATGTTACTATGGTAACATTGTACTACTTTGGTCATAGTAAAAAATACAACTTCAAAAAATGCACCATGCCTCTTATGAAATACGTCGGACTGTCTACTTTGCAAAAAGGGGTTATTTGGGGGATATCTGTACTGTTCTGACATTCTTGGACCTCAAAAAATTAGATTGGCTGTCAGTACTTCAGGATTGATCAATTTTCAGATCTATACCATAGTTTGTGAACTCTATAACTTTCCTACAAACTAAAAAATACATCCTAATTTGGGTTATTTTCACCAAAGACATGTAGCAGAATACATCTTGGCCTAAATTTATGAAGAACAATTATTTATTTACAAACTTTTATAACAGAAACAAAGAAAAACGTGGGTTTTTTTTTTCAAAATTTTCGGTATTTTTTTGGTAATTTAGCAAAAAATAAAAACCCCAGCGGTGATTAAATACCACCAAAAAAAGCTCTAGTTGTGTGAAGAAAATGATAAAATTTTAGTTTGGGTACAATGTTGTATGACCGCGCAATTGTCATTCAAAGTGTGAGAGCGCTGAAACGTGAAAAATGGCCTGGGCAGGAAGGTATAAAATTGCCCGGTATTGAAATGGTTAAACTCTGATAAAATGTGCAGCCATATGTTTTAAAAAGAGTTTTAAATGTTCATTCATGTTGTTGTCAGCCTCTCTATTTAATCCATGTTGTAAATCACAACATTTCAAAGCCCATAATACTCCAGTAAACTGCCAAATCCTGTATATTTCATTTCTTGTTTTTACATCATAATTATCTTTTTAGTCTGGTCCAGGATGATGGTAGAGCTGATGCTGCCTATGGTAGCTAAAGAACATAATTCCTTTGACCCACAACAAGACTGCAACCTTCTAATTTGGCGTGTAGGTCATACTTATTAATATGGTGGGAGTAAGCAATATCCAGTGTTGGACCGCTGTTTATCTGGCATAGAATAAAAATAAATTCATGAATGTTTTTATGTGTTAAGTTGTAGTTCACCAAAAATAACTAACAGGAATCACTGTGGGTTACAACATTAGAAACATCAAAGTTCTGTGAAGTGATGTCAGTAATTTGTGACAGCAAGGGTTTCACTTTCTCACATGCTCATACCATATGCATCAATTCCCCTTCAGCTTTTTTTCATGTATGACAAACATATGTATGTGTATGTTTTAATGCTTTGAAATAGGCAAGTCAGGGTGCACGAGGTTCCATGAAAACATCTTAAAGAGTAACTCCACTTTTGCTGAGACAAAAACAATTTCCTCTGGAGGATCTATGTACATTGCAAGGATTTTAACAAACTTTGTTCTAGTTTCCTACTTGTTTCTGCTCTGAAGGAAAAGCTGTATGTTCCACCAAGTTTTTAGGATACTGATTCTGATTTGGACTGACCAATTCATTTTAATCAGCTGGTGCACATGGAGTGCTTTGATGATAAAATCTGATGTGTCTGCATCCTTTTAGATATGTTTAACTTTTAGGGAGTATCTCATCAAAAATTTTTTGTTTTTTGTTCCAGAGGATTCCCAAAACTTGACTGGTATTTTAGTGCAGAGTTCTTTGCACAAGCAGGAAATGACGTGCTGGGGGTGTTCTGTACATCAATTGCATTGATTTTATAGAAAATTACAGCAGCTGCAATTTGAAAGGAAAGGTAATCTGTAACTGTAGTAGCAATTTTCAGAAAATCAGGAAAACTTCCGGACACGGATTTCTGAAGGAAACAACTAATTTATTAAAAACAGCGCTGTTTTGACTCAACAGATAGCTCTCATCTGCTTAATGAGTTATAGAAAACTTCTTACAAGTGTATATACCAACGATTACGTCACAAGGCATACATTCCTTTCCTACTTTGTTTACACTCAAAAGGCTTCCTAAACTCTGCAGAATAACCTTGGCCAGCAGCTAGAGATAAGAAATACCAGCTACAAACCGCTACACAGGAAATAAGGGAGGAGGGAAGATGAGCCAAAAACCTTGTTTCTACAAACACAGGCTGCTAGAAGTGTTAGAGTTTAAAGGGAAACTCTGCCATATCTGGGTGCTACCACATAATAACTGAAGCACTACCGTCGCAAGGGCCACTATGCTTCCAGGTCCACCTAATTTCCACATAGCCAGGCAACACACATTTTCTACACTTGCATCCGCAGTCAGTGAACAGTCCATGAGCTTGGATTTTGTTATTTATTAGGGGATGAATAGGGTAATAGAGATTTACAGCCCCTCTGATAATCAGCTCAGCTTCTTGCAAACTGCATGCAGAGATGTCTCCTCTCCCTTGTGGAACTGCTCCCAGCTCCAAAGCCTGCAGACACTACCAGCCCTCCTGGCTGCTCTGAAAATCTCCCAGGAGAAGGATAAAAGATTAAGCACATCACTGTCCTTTGAAAGCTTGCTACATGTGGCATTCTCTCCTCTTGTAAATCCCTGGGTGTGCTGATGTATTCACACTTTCCTCTTGCTCCCACTGCTCCCAGGCCTTGACCCTGTTCATACCGTGGAGGCCAGCCGCCCTAGACCTAGGGCACACCATCTTCTATATGACTCCTCTGCCAACCTTACTATCCTATATTTATTGGTTGGTCTCACCACTCTACCAGGGTCTTCAAACCTGGAATTGGTTAGACTCCCATAAACATGTAGATCAGGTCTCCACCCCTTCCACCCTCTGGCTTCTGGAAGGTTCCATGGTCCTCCAAAACCAGGTGGAAACTATAGAGTCAATAAAAACTTTAATCACAAAATGTAGCAGATATATATACTCCCAAATAACAAATGTACACAGGCATATTGTGACCGACAATAGTTAATGGTTGGAAACGGTGTACGAGTCCGACAAGTAGGAGGATTTTTGAAAATGGCTGATGCATTTCGAGGGCAATCCCCTCTTCCTCGGAGCCTATTCATAATGCTGCACAATCACTCATTATATAGCATCATTTGACTCTGGCCCCAGTTCTTGTGAATAAGCTCCTCCCATTTTCCGGTGGGCAGACCTGATATCTAGGGGGTGTGCACTAAAATCCTCAACATTATATCCAACATCAGTTGAAATGTGCAAGTGTGAAAACACATACATATAAAAGAAAAACTTTTAGGACTTTTAAAACATTAAAACGTTAATCCCCCCTCCACCAAACTTTACACTTGGCACAATGCAGTCAGGAAGTACCGTTCTACCAGCAAATGCCAAACCCAGACATGTCCATCAGATTGCCAGGCAGAGAAATGTGATTTGTCATTGCAGAGAACACTTCTCCACTGCTCTAGAGCCCAGTGGCAGCTTGCTTTACGCCACTGAATCTGACGCTTTGCATTGCACTTGGTGATGTTAGGATTGGATGCAGCTGCTTGACATGGAAACCCATTCCATGAAGCTCTCTACACACTATTGTTGTGCTATTCTGAAGGCCACATGAAGTTTGGAGGTCTTTAGCAATAGTCTCTGCAAACAGTTGGCGACTTCTGGGCACTGTGCGCTTCAGCATGTGCTGACCCCGCTCTGTCATTTTACGTGGCCTACCGCTTCGTGGCTGAGTTGCTTTTGTTCCCAGTTGCTTCCACTTTGTTATAATACCACTAACAGTTGACTGTGGAATATTTAGTAGCAAGGACATTTCACGGATGGATTTATTGCACAGGTGGCAACCTATCATGGTACCACGCTTGAATTCACTGAGCTCCTGAGAGTGACCCAATCTTTCACAAATATTTGTAGAAGCAGTCTGAATGCCTCGGTGCTTGATTTTACAGTATACACCTGTGGCCATGGAGGTGATTGGAACACCTGAATCCAATGATTTGGAGGGGTGTCACAATACTTTTGGCAATATAGTATATATGTGTATGCATCACTTAGGTACTTATATCGGATTCTATGTCAAGGCTTCAGCTTCCATTAGAAAAAAAGACCCCTTTACAAATACATTCTGTATATAACAGCAATTGGAATGGCTGCTGTTTCCTTGTACGAGGCCGTGGAACGCACGCTGTTCGGATAGACCGGAAAGGCGGCATCGCCTTGCGTTCCAGCCGCTACTTCTGGTCATGGGAATATGTCCCTTCATGTTTGAGCTCTAGTGGCCAACTTTATTTCAGGACACCAGAGAAAACATAGAACATGGACACTAGAGGACAAGAGCGAGCTAGTTGCTGAATATGCGCTGAGTGGCAGATGTCAGTCTGCAGTCACAGCACCTATCCTCCTCATCCCTATTCTCTGGGTAGCCTGCAACAAATGGTCAAATAAAATTACAAGTTGCGGATTAAACTAATAAAAATTTATATTAATGGGGCCGACTCATTCATATAAAATAATAATGGAGATACAAATATAAAATTACAGGTATAAAATATGATAATAACCCAATGATTTAATGGGTGGATGCCTATTTACCAGGACATGTTAATAAAAAAAAAATCACATAAATATTAATGGCGGTGCAGGCTAACAGTAATAAAAGAATACTTGTGTAGCCCCATCTATGCATGCATAAAATATGTAAATGTTGATTATTATGAAAAATAGGGAGACAGTGATCAATAATGAATAAATAATTCATTGACAATGGGTGGCTATGGTGTGAATGTCAATACATATGAAAATTGGGGAAACAATCATAAATAATTAAATAGATAATGGGTAATTACACTGTCACTACAGTTACTAGAGTATTCATTGATGGCTCTCAGGGGCATTAGAGGGCAAACTATAACAATGAATGCATATTATTATTGTTGATATTAACAAAAATCCACTCATCGGCCTAGCCTGACTATGAACTTAGGGTATCAATGTGCAAAAGATGGTGTGTCTGAGCAATGTAAACAGCAGTTTTGAATAATTTTAAATGATTATAATGTGAAAGCACATGTGCATATGCATATCAGATCTATATTTGTACATGTCTGTTTGGCAAGAGAAAGAAGAGAAAATAATAATAATGATAAAAAACAGGAACGGGTAGGAAATAAGCATTGGTGGTGAAAAATTGAAGCACATGGGTGAAAATGGAGAAAGGGATAAATGGCATGATGCTTCAGTAACCTGGGTCATGGAAGAATTTAAATATTTAAACTAGTGTATGAATCTCCAGATACTCATTTAGACCCTTAAAGGCGAGGCTTTCTAGTGTGAAGAACCAATTGCTTTCTCTTTTGCAAAGCCTTTGGTATCTACTGCCCAGGGGCAGACTGAAAACTCATGGGGCCCCCGGGCAATAGGGGATCATGGGGCCCCTGTGTCCTTGCCCAAACTCAAAAAAGCCTATGAAAAAGGTACCGGGGCATCTCATGGGGCCCCCTACTGACCTCTGGCCCTCGGGCAGTACTAGAGTTTCCAAATGGTCAGTCCGCCCCTGCTCCTGTCGTTATCTAGATCTCTGGAAATGGCCTCAATTCCGAATACTTTCATTCCTGAGTGGTCACTTTGATGTACTTCTTTAAAATGTCATGAGACTGAGTAGTTATCCTTGCCACCATGAAGGCTGCACCTGTGTTCACCGATGCAAACTCTTAGTGGGTGTGAGGTGCGACCAACATACAATAGGCCTCAAGGGCAAAGAAACCCATAGATGACATATGCTGTGCCGCAATTGATAAACTGTTTGATGCGATGTTTTTGGCCATCAGTGCCAGTTATCTCCTGTTTCCGGTGCCACATTAAGCAGCATGTCCCACAGTTTCTTGCAAAGCATCTATAGTTGCCTTTTTGGTCGAATATAGATGACCACATGTTGCAATAACTACCTAGACTTCCTTTTGATTTCTGTAACCGGCAAGGGGCTATCATGCTTCCCAAATCTCAAGGTTTCCTAAAAATAAAATTGGGCTTATCTGAAAGTAACCCCCCAATTACTGGATCACTCCTCAGGATCTTCCACTTTTTGGAGAAGATACGCTGTATCTCCCAAGCCTTATTTTTATTTATTTTTGTAAAACCTTTAACCCAAAAGGGAACAAAAAACTGTTTGCTGTAACTGCTTATAAAGTGTGAGCTGGAGTTTGGCTTCAAATTGTTATCGTATTTAAGTTTATCATTTTATTAAAGTTTACATCAAAAAGGGAGAAAGCCCTGAAAATCTAAGATATAAATAGGCATACACAGAGATCTAGCATAATACAAGGCTTGCAAAAATGAACAAGTATCAGAAGTCAGACCGAATGCAAGTACAACATCCTCATACAAAGGAGAAACAGCGCTTAAGGAGATAGGCATAGTGGGGTGTGGTGCTTAATGACAATTACTAGATGCCTAAAAAGCAGACATATCTAGTAGCACTTGAGGACCACTAAAAATTACAAATCATATAAGTAAGAGGTCTGCTCAGTGAATGGTGTAGGTGTGAAACCAGACCACAAACCATGTGTTATTGTATTTAAATCTGCTAGTACAGCTAACACTCCTCTTACCCCTGACTGACAATGCTGCTGTCCAAAGGTGCCCCCTGTGCTCCTTCATCCACAGGTGTGATACTGACCAGATCAAAGATGTAAAAATCTGCATCATCCAAAACATAATAACTATGCATCAAAAACATATTAACTACAGGACATGCCCAAATCAAGTGGAGAAAAGAAGCCTACAATATATAACATTTAGGATCCATTCACACTTAGGCATTTCAAATTGCAGCTATTCCGATCGCGATTTGAAAACGTGCTGTGAAAATGTGAAAACGCGCATTCTTGTGTTCAGGTGTCATTCATCTCAATGGCACCAGAACATGCATAGCGTTTTTGCTGCAATCGCAGTGTGATTTTCCACGCTACAAACGCACTGCAATCACACAAACAATGGCACACGACGCCCAAAAATGGTTCCTGAACCTTTTTTGGGCGTCATGCGTCCTGTAATTTTGTTTGCGTGAGCGCAAACATTTTCAGGTGCCATTGAAATGAATTGCACCTGAACACGTGAATGCGCATTTTTACAGCGCATTTTCAAATTGCAGGCAGAATCGTGGCAATTCCACACACGATTTTAAATGCCTAAGTGTGAATGGAGTTCCAGGGTAACTAAAAGAGGTTGTATTGGTAAACATAGCCAATATATGCAGGATAGAATACACCTAGGATAATGTACGTTTGAACTTGATATTCCCTTGTACTCAAGGATAGTTTGGCAGGAGTCTCCAAACATTTCTCATAGTCCTAGTCCCCCCAAATTGGCAAAAACCAAGTCTCATACTATTTTTGCACATTAAACTTGTCCATTTGCCCACTAGCCATTTGTAAAGGCCCCCTATTAATCTGTTGCTATCACATTCCCATCCTTGTCTGGGACAGGGGCGGACTGATCATTTGGAAACTCGGGAACTGCCCGAGGGCCCGGGGTCAGTAGGGGGCCCCATGAGATGCCCATGGTACCTTTTTCATAGGCTTTTTTGAGTTTGGGCAACACAGGGGCCCCATGGTCCCCTATTGCCCGGGGGCCCCATGAGTTGTCAGTCTGCCCCTGGTCTGGGAGTAGGGATTTGTTCTTGAAACTAAGTTTAGAGCATGTGTTGGAGTTTTTAAATGTAGTCTTGGGAAAGATTGTAACTTGAGCACAGTTGGTAATATGATTTAAAATTTTTATCGAAAATAACAACTAAATAAAAAATAAATTCTATTAGACTGCCATTTCCTAGCAGCACTCGTATCCTAAAGCAGGACGTGATAGTCAAATTGGATAGAATGGTTGTTCCTAGTCCACTCCCAGATGCAAGTTGCTTGTTTGAGGATACTAGAAGGGATAGGGACTCTACTGAATCCCCTTTTTGGCAACCAGTAGAGCAACAATCCAGTAGAGCGGACAATTCAGAGGGTTACGGAAATCCAGGGATTGTGCCTTATGCATACTTCATTTCTGGCAGTGGCATAGCATGCATTATGAGCGCCCGGGCAAGGCAAGTAATTTGAGCCCCCTAACCTGTGGACTTTTAGCACTCTCTGAGTCCCTTCCACTAGTACAGTATTAAACCCCTTATCCCCTAAGCACACGTATTGTATTTTAAGAAAATTACTGATGTAATTAAAGTAAAACGCATTTGTGTCACCCCCATCCTGATGTAATTATTAAACCCCTTATCCCCTAAGCACACGTATTGTAAAAAAGTAAAACGCATTTGTGTCATTGCCCCCCCATCACCCCATGTGTTATGCAAACACTGACTCCTTGTGTATGAAGCACAGGTGTAAATCCCGCTGTAAATCCCCAGCCATCCCTATCCTACCTGATTAGATCATCCCACACAAAGGACTAGCACTGTCCAGGTCACATGCACACAAAACATTCCACAGTTCAGAGAGGAGGGCGGGGAAACTCTACACTGCACGCTTCTGCCGCCTGCTGCCCTCCAATGGTTTTTAGGTCACATTGAAAATTCTGCACTGCTGCTGCCACATACTTTACATGTCCGCATATTTTGTTCCTCCTAGCAAGCCGTACCTGATAAGTTCGCTCACGTAACATGGCAACAGAGGCACTTCTATTTGATTCCAGCCACCTAGATGATGAGGAAACCTTCACATGTGTTTTGTTCATGATCACTTTTATTGTGTAAAAGACTATATGAACTCTTATTCACATATATTTATATTCTTTTTTATATTAGTATCATAGCGCTGCACTATATATACATTATTCTTGTTACAAGGTCCAGTGATTCCTTAGAGTGTTCCAGCGGCTGATTTTAGAGCGCTCGCTTCATCTTTATCCCATAACAGAGGCACTCCCGCATGTGACCATGGACTCTGGTGCAGTGAACTGGGAGGATGTGGTCAGGCTTAGACTGAGCACACAGCACACTCGGGAGTCGGGACAGGAGTCGACGGGTTACGCCCAGGATAATCGCCCCAGCTGCACCCCCACACTACACCACTTGTTTCCAGAACCAGTGGGTAGTGGGAGCGTTGCATTGCCACATAGTATTTGTGCAGACACGGAGAAACCAGACCTCCTATAGTAGAGTTCATGGAGATTGAAAATGGAAGTCGAGGGCATTTATTGTTCCAAACAAATTCCAAAATTAGGGCATTACATTTTTTAATGAAGAATGGTAAGTGGAATAGAGAATAAAAAAAAAAAAAAAAAAAAGTATTTTGAGAACAGGAATCATTTTAAAGAAGTTTACATAACCAATAACTGATAATGAGAGTCTAGTCCAAGTATAAAATTTAGCTTTTTAAAAGAATGTACACATGGGTCAGTATTAGACAGCCAACATGGATCAACTTAAACTCAATTAAAGCTTATTTAACTGTGCACTTAACAAGCAGCAAATCCACCTTGGAGAATTGAGATTAGGAGGCATGGTACTCCTAGACAGCCAACCTCTTTTCAGTGCCAAGATATGCATCTCTTGCATCACCACTATATCCAGGTGATGATTCTGATGTTCTACAAGACCACTGATGTTTTAAATTTACTGTTAAGGCCTCACATATTCTGGCACAGCATATTTGGTGGCATATTACATACTGTATATCAGAGGTATCAAGAACATCACTCAAAATAATGAACAGGGGGTGGTGGCGGTTTGGTCCGGTGACCACAGAGCAGGAAAAAGAGACAACTGAAAATGTAAGTTTAGAACCTTGGCAACATTGGATCCATGAACAGGGACCCTAAACTTTAAAGTAGCATGATCATGACCAGTAGTAACATAGTGTGAGCCTGCATACAGAAGTATAAAATAGTACTCAGAATAATACACTACAGTGGCAGGCATAACAGGGATGGAGAAGCAGCAGAAATCTTCAAACAAGGTCTGTCCATAGCTGATGTGGAAGAAATAAAGCAAAAAAGGATTCTGGACTGGTGCCTTCAGAGCAGGGCCGGGACAGAGAAGGGGGGGGGGACAGAAGGAGCAGGAACCTCCGGATGCAACAATTCATGGGGGGGGGGCACTGCGGAGGTGGAGTACAGTGAGATGACATAGCACACTATGTCATCTCAGTGCTGGAGCAGTCCCTGAGTTCCTCCTGCCACTGGCCAGCACTAGCTTAGAAGACCCACCTACCTAACACTTCACTGTCAGTGATGTGATTTGATCTCCGCCCAACAGGTGACTCACTCAGAGAGAGAGACAGGAAGAGTGTGTGGTGCAGCAGGGTGCATTGTACTCCAACAGACACTGCACCAATGGATGATACTCTGGCCAGCAGGGGTTAAGAGTTCCCACATACAGTGTCCCCTCTACTGGCCTTGCTCCCTCCCATGCCAGACCCGGCTGTCCTATGACGGTCCTGCCCTCCTCCCCCCGGGGACCTTCTGTTCCCCTCTCCGGGCGGCTGTTCAGTTATTGTGCTCTTCCTGGTGAGTGGTGTGTCCCCCTTGGTGCCAAGGTGTCCTGGCCTGTCCTGCCCTGAGCCCAAACCCTAAACAAATAACCCTCCTTCCTGCTATCCACCCTCAACAATAACGCCCTTCCTGCTCTCCACCCTAAACAAATAACTCCCCTCTCTGCTCTCCACCTTAAAAAAAGAACCCCCCTCCCTGTTCTCCACGCTAAACAAATAACCCCCTTCCTTGCTCTCCACCCTCAACAATAACCCCCTCCCTGCTCTTCACTCTAAACAAATAACTCCCCCCTCGTTTATCCACCTTTAACAAACAACACACTTCTCTGCTCTCCACCCTCAACAATAACCCTTTCCCTGCAGCATGAAGGGGTTAATAAACACTGCCACTGGCACTAATGCAGCACAAAGGGATGTATTAAAACCATCACTGCCCATCAGTGTGGAAAGACTAACCACTTCAAAACACATCCATTTCTAACATTGGAAATATTTTCTGGAAGCAAAGGCCCTGGAGAATTAAATTGTGGTAGTTGTAATTTTTTAGGTCTCAATATCTGCACAGCGGTTTATCGAACATAAATTCTCAGGAAAAAAAAACACACCAAATATAGATATACTGAAGGTAAACTCTCTGCTGGAGTATACCACAACTATTGCTACTATTTCAGAATATGCATACATTTTGCTCCGTGCACCATGGTTAGAGCTACCCCCTTCACCGAGAAGGGGGGGGGAGGCACAGTTTGCCATCTTCACCTTGGGCGCTGGATGACCTTGTCTCGGCACTGCTTCAGAGAACAAGGTAAGTAACAATGAAATTTAGGCTGCACATGTGGGAGAAAAAATAACCCGCGTGCACCCAGGCAAGTGTATGTTGAGCAGCAGGGGCAAAAACGGAGGACCAGGGATTTACCAATACAAAGGGAATTGATAGAATGTAGTACTAGGAGCACAACTCACAGAAATCACACGATGTAGCATAAATGCATGGCTCAATATAGCTGTCCACATTCTCAAGTGTCTGGAAGAAATATGCATGTTCCTATTATTTCAGCTCCCTCCCTCATATGCAGCATTTACTTTTGGTGCTTTACTTTTTTACATTTTTGAAGATGGTGAAATTCAGGTTCTAAATCTTGTACACTGCATTGTCAAGTACCATTGTTCGGTGGATAGCATACTTTTGATATTTGAATATGGAACAACTTTTTCAGTGCCTCAGAGGAAATCTGTTTAACTTGAAGCCTAGATTAGAATACACAATGATATACTATTATATTCCTGAATATAATATTAACTAAAATGGATGGGGAAATTGTGTCTAAGATTTCCTTTAAATCAATAATGCATTGTTGTGAATACAATGATAACCTATCCATCATGTTATCCTTGACATACTGTCCATAATATTCCTTACCAATGTTATTTGTTCCACTTAACATCATTTTCAAAAAAAGCTGTAATTATGTTTTGCTATTTGAGAGTGAGAAGATACAGCATGAAGTTTCTCAAGGCTACATATTACAAGGTTTAAATGTTGATCGCTCTAATTTACTGTACAATCAAAAACCTGGATCATATAGGGCATGATCTTCCACCTAGAGTCATTAAGAACTACATTACTCATAAGTATGTAATCTAGATTTAATTAGGAGAATATTGTTTGTATCTGCTAACATTGAAGCCAAAATCAACCCATCTGTCTGCAAAGAAATAGGTCATACCATCTGAAAAGAAAACCACCGAGATGTCATTCTCATGCAAGAAGATTTCCAACAATGAAGATTCCAGCAATGTTTCCTGAATAGGCATGTGAAGTTGTCATACACAAACATTGTCAATATGTTTGGATTTATATGGTGTTCTGTTCCTTAACCTTTAAAAAGAAATTTATATTGAAATGTTATTTGAACGGCACTGTCCTTTTATGCAGACTTCTTAACTAGCTGTAATATAGGAATCAATGGGGTCTGGTGCAACTCTGCATAGAAACCAATCAGCCTCCAGGTTTTAATGCCAAAGCTTAATTGAACAAGCTGAAGTTAGAAGCTGATTGGCCACCATGCTCAACTGTGCTAGATTATGAGTGCAGCAGTTTTTGGAGATCTCCCCACTATGTGGGACATACCACTAAGAAACTACATCACAGACA